ACCGCCCACCCCCCTCCCTTCCCCACTGCTCCCCGGACTCTTCCATCTGCCAGAGAGGGGGGTGGGATTTTGGGAAGGGAATCAGCGGAATATTTTGGGGGCGGGGCTCACGGGACTCCTCCCCCTGTCCTGGAGCCGATCCGTGTGTGTGAATTCCAGGCTTCCCAAGAAGGACAACCCGCGCCGGGCCATGTGGCTGGAGAACAGCCGGCGGCGGGACCCCAGCGGGCAGGGCCGCTGGGACCCGGCCTCCAAATACATCTACTTCTGCTCCAAGCACTTCGAGAAGAGCTGCTTCGAGATAGTCGGCTTCAGGTAGCTAACGAGGCGCTTAACGAGCTGCCTAATGAGGCTCTCCATGGCCTGTCCCCTCCCGGCCGTTGCAATGGACTGGGCCCATCTCCCCCCCTGGCTATAGTAAGTGGTTCGGTCCAATTAAGGCTGCCCCCGTCATTAAGGATGGATCAATCCAGGTGTTTGGGGTGATCCTTGTTCATTAATCCAGCCCCATGGAGGCTTTAATTCCCCCCACGCCGGTGGGAATTCAATCTACGTCTCCCTGCCTCAGTTTCCCTTTCTGTGGGACTTTCCTGGGAATGTCGCAGGGCCTTCCCGCTGCCCCTGGGCTTTGGGACGTCCCCCCTTCCCTGCTAAATCCTGGAATTTTGGCCTGTGCTTGGGAGCTCCTCGGTGTGGGGTCATTGGAAGAGCTTTTGGGGACTCCCTGGGATTTGGGGTGCCCCAGGGGCCATCCCCAGTGCTACCCTAAAGCCCCTGGGACTTTAAGATCCTTCAGGGCTTGGGGACACCCTGGGGACCTCGTTGACTTTGGGGTCCCCGTGTGTTTTGGGGCGCTTGTGGCTTTTGAGGACCCTTCATCCTCCCCACAGGGCTTTGGGGACACCCCGGGACCCCCACAAGCCTTGGGGCTCCCATAGGAACCTGCTCCCACCCCAGCCAGGGACTTTGCAGGTTTCGGGTCCCCCCTGTGCTGCTTTCCAGGACTTTGGGGCACCCTGTGACCCCCCCAGACTTCTGTGGTCCCTCTGTTGTGGCCTCTGTCCCCCCACTCGTGTCCCCT